TATAATTGCATCATTGCATGCCTAACTTTCAATGTACGTTTTAAAATAGGTGCCGATTTAAAAACGACTAACATCTATAAATATGAATGAATTGTGAATACATATTAATGTATATGAATTATATATGTACAATTAGATTTAATTGTTATTGACTTACCATTATCCTGCTATGTTTCCATTTGGTTAATTTATTCAAAATTCTCAGTAAATTGATACAAGAGAAAACATTTCTCCATGAAAAAGATTGACTGTGACCGATTTCGAGACTTTCAGTAGTTAATTCTGGCTGATCGCCAATGACACATATGGGGAAGTCCAAAATAGGAATACTATTGCAATATAAATTATTAATTATGTATTATAATGTATACGGTTAGAAATTTAATTAGCAATAACATTCTTACTTACACATTCTTTGCTTCAATGTAAGCTATAATGTTCTGATTTAAAAACTTTAATACAAGAGGTATGCAATTTGCAAATACTAAATGCTGTGACATAAATTCAAATTGGTATATGTGATTTAGTTTGAAATGTTTGAGCAGTAGTAATAAAATTGCGGAAACAGCTTTAACAATTATCTCTTTATGTCGATTAACATCAATCCCTAACTTCATTGATTGCAGTACTGTCATTCTAAAAGTGTAATATAAATGTTTTTTTTTCTTGTTTTTAAAAAGACTTCATTAATATTACATATTATTAGTACTTACGGCATTTCTTCTGGTAGCACATCAGCCAAAATATTAATACTATCTGTTTTGGCCTTACTAGTTGGTGCAGCAGCAAGTAATATTTTCAATAATGCAATCATATATTGTGGCAAATTCGGTAATATAGCTTGATAAAGAATTTCTGTTGGTGTTTGACGTAGCGGTGGTTCTGAAGTACTCATTGGATTTCTTGCTATCTCTTCTTCCTTCCGTATCTGAATTTCTGCTAAAGATGTGTACATATGCTAAAATATTGTAACATTTAGTATAGTAGAGTGTAGTGATGCTATATCAATATAATTTATAAATTTCAAGCAAATACCTTTTTAAGGGTAGTAACACCTTCATGAATTGGTTGCGGCAAACCCGCTAAACTTTCCCTGTCTCCTTGTAATTTGTAACCAACAAATTTTAATCTGGCAACTTCAAGGAAGCTGTCTACATCTTTTTGTCTTACTTTAGGCGTCCATGGTAAACCTGATGAATAATATTTACATATTAATGAGATACAAATTAATAAAATTAAAATAATATATTACCTTTTCCTTTTGTATGCTGTGGAGTGCTTGGCCTCAATTGTGTTGGATTATTCTGATCTTCATAATATGTTTGATTCCAGCAGCCACCAGGACCACCAGGACCCAGAAAAACAATCACTTCACCATCTCCTTCATTTGCTGTAGTATTATTTGGAGATTCCCCTCCTTCATACTCCATACCTAAGCCTGGATCATCTAACGAGCTTTGTTTCATCAAAAAGTTCTGTAAAAGATATCTGCTATTATTATTTGTAAAAGCATCAAAATATCCATGTAAAATAATTTTAAATGGACAACTTACCCGTCGAGAAGGACGATTGTTCCTTTTCTGATTTTGTGTTTCTAATAGATCTGCTGCACTCATAGGAGGAGAACTTGCCCTCATTGTTCTGGCGACTTCGATAGTGTCTTCCTGTTGTGTATCAAGGCCAGCTTCCTCGCGATACTGTTTCTTCAAGTCTCTAAGCGAGTCGATACCACCGAGAGAAACTAGGATTAACTTCCATAAAAGCAAGAGAACTTTCTTCATAGGAAAATGTGGTGCCGAGCCGCTGCAGAAGCACGTCACCATACCGAGAAGTTTAACAATCAGTAATTCTTCTCCATATGGATTTACTGTGGAGAAAACACATATTCATCAAAAACATTTTCATCCATTAATATTTTAGAAGATTAAACTTTCCTCTGTAATATAGTATTCGTTAAAATAATCTTAAAATATTCTATATAAACACAATGACATACCAAGATCTTCTTTGAAACCTTCAACATTTTCTTTATACTCGCTGTGCTCAATATTTCTTAATTCCTCTCTCATAACTTCTGTTATAATGTACAAAACGGACAGAATGACTCTTAGATCTATCGAATCAGCGAGACTAACAGCTAGCTTTCTCATTGCTGAGGTAGCAGTTGTGCTATTCCTGGAAAAAACCTTCAATGTACAAAAGATCAAAAACAAGGTTCTACATTCCAGCATGACATACATATATAATATAATCTTACTCAATTTCAATATTTAGCAGTTCAACAAATGCTGAAAAAATGCCAGCTTCGTAGAGTAGCATTACATTTGTCCTAGTCCAGTCTTGTTGTTCTTTGTCAGACTGTACCTCAGCCCAACAACCCTGAGCTAAATAAAGGATGCAGCGCGCTGCCTTCATTCTGAGCTGTTTATTGGAAACTTCCAATTGATCCAGCAACTTATAGATTATCGATTTTTGCTGTGGTCTTGTCAAGTTTTGCCACCATGGTGGTAACTTATACCATTCCATCTGATCTTCGAAAGCCTAAAATTTATAAAAACTCGCTTAATCTGTTCCTGTACTTGTTGCTATACTTTATGAATCTTTTGATTCATATCATATAATAAACTCATCATTATATAACCCAAAATTATACCTTAAGATTAAGTTGTAATTCATACTGTTCGGTATAACTATATAACTCTGCAATCTCATTAGTATGTATATCAGTGTCATCATATATAAATTCCAGATCTGTAGTTCTGTTGCTTTCCTGGAGTTGCAAGAATAAAACAAGATCAGGCAAATATTGAAAAATTTCAAGTAACATTATTTAAATTGAACAGCAAAATTAATAATTGTATAAATCTTTTATCTTTGTTAATATGGAACAATACATGAATTATGGAAAAACACACATACACAATATACATAATTTTTATATCTCAATACATTTATATAAACACAATTATTTATTTGTACTACTCAAAAGAATAATTAAATTATAGCTGTGAGTGCTGTCAAAAAGAATAGGGTTAAAGGACAATCTAAGTTCACCAGCACATTTATACGTAATATGAAATTCCGGGGTATTTTTTAGCACGATTATTCTCTCACTCACGTCGTTACTGGCTGCACGTCGATAAGAATACATGGGACCCCCATGAAGAGGGTCACGCTTGCCATTCCCGTTCGCATCCATCGCTACCTCACACATTTTCCGTGACGGCTCGCGGCCGCGATACTCTCGTTTCCGATCTTTAGAACATCTCGGCCTAACACGTCGTCTACCCGGGAGACGTTCGCTAGATTATAAATCGTACCGCCCACGTAAGTGCTTTGACATTTACGTCACCTTACTTAAGTCTCTCGGGCGACAAATATTGCACTATAAATTGTTTGTTTCTCTGAGCTTACGTCACTTTCTAACCCCGATTTATATATGTATAATGTATGTAACGAAGATCTCCGAAGATCTCTGTTCACGATTGCTACTGGATGCTTTCGTGCATTTTTGGTCGCAATCGGAAGTCTTCGGAAATACTCGGTACAATATATACATATATTTTCCCGCCACAGATCTAAAACTGCGCTTCTTTTGATAAAACTTCATAATTACGTATAACATGCGCAACGTGATTTTTATATCGTAAAAAAAAAACAAAAAGAATAATTTTTTTGATTGCAAAAGAATATTTTCATGTAAATGTATAATTATTAATTAATATCGATACATCGGCAATATAAACAGAGTAAAACATTAGAAAATATTCAATAATAAATCAGATTTCCAATACTATAGTTTTTGATTCATAATATCAGGTAGAATAGATTATGTATCTAAGAATATATAATGTATTTTGTAGATGTGAAATTTGGGAAGATAATTTAAGGTCTGTTTATAGGCAACTTTTTCATCTATTTCCTTTTGTTAATATTTTTATTATTTTCCAAAGCTTTAATATAGTACAGTTTATTTCATTAAAAACACAAAAAGTATTAAAACAAGTATAAATAGGATGAATCCAGAAATGATAGCCTTTTCTTTTTTTAACTGCATCACATATTTTACATTTTCTATATTCCAAATAATTATATATTTACACATGGAGGATAAAAAGAGGTACATTTAATAATACATGCTACTATAATACATATTAAAAAAATATTCTCGATACATATATTCCTTGTCATGCTATTATTATATATTCTGATTGCAATAAGAAATATAAAATTTTCTCGAAATGGTATGTAAATTCATATTATGCCTAAGATTGTGTACTTTTAGGAATCTATGTTTATTTAACATGCACCTTTACATTTAATGAACTTCATGTAATAGGAAATTACAAGAGAAAAAATGAAGAAAATATGCTCTGAGACATATAATAAAGATATTAAATAAAGGTATAAGAAAATATATAATTCTCAAAAATTTTGGCGCACACAAGCAATATTGCATTGTTACTACAGTATACTTGACTTTATGTTGCGCAATATAATGCTAAACCTTACACATTTTTGGTTTCTCTGAAAATACTTACAAAGATTATACATATAAATAAAATGAAATATACATATACAATCAATATATAACTAACATAGTAAGAAATGAAACGCATTCAATAAATATTAGCATTCAACATCCACAATGTAAGATATCAAAGCGCATTCTTACCATATTTAACCTAAAATTATTTAACAGAGATCACACACACATTCGGTAAAAAATCAGCTGTCAGAATCTCTCGTACAAGTATCGCTTAAGATCATCATTATTGACACGATTTATACGTGAATACAATATTATCTGACATGTTCGTCAAAAAAAAAATATTTCTAATTTCTTTTATTTTTATTTTTATTTTGTGCTTCACCCACATACACCCACACAAACAAGTAAATCTCTCGCCATGTCGATACATATATTATTATCGATTGCTCGACGAGAGTTTCGAGAATTCGATATCTCGCAATTTCACGAATGCCGCAAGTTTGGGAAAAATTTTTCTTTGTGTGGTAGCGACCGGCGGCTTCCATCTTGAAAGACCACCCCCGGCCCCCGGCTCCGAAAGACAAATTTATTGTTGTCCGCGTCCACGTTGAGCCGATCGGTTTTGGCGTCGGTACGCTTTGAAGATTTTCAAGCGCTCAAGCGTAAGTCAGCCGCGATATAACAAGCAATCGAGAATAGAAAAATGCAGGGCACCATAATCGAAAACCTGAGCGGCAAGAAGCTCTTGGTTCTGGTGATACTTTTGATAATCGCACAAATTGTTTGTTTTCTAATAGGCGGCTTAATCGGTAAGCAATTTGTTAAATAAATGGACTCTTTACTTTTTATATCATCAATAATTGCTCATATTGCTGTCTTTACTGTATAATAAAAAATATATAGCGTGTAAGCATACATATATTTCTCTTTTTTTTTTTTGTCATATTTGTTTACATTTTATTTTATTTGATGTATAGCTTATTTTTTACGAAGTAGTAATGAAAAGCTCTTTTTAATAAATTTTAA